CCCCCGTAAGCAAAGCCCAGCATTGCGACCCGTCGCCCTGCAGATTTGCATCCGTCGCTTGGACTCCTCGTGCAGAATCCCCTATTTTATTATCCCGTGGCTTCGCTAATAATCGAATACATCGTTATTGCCTCATCAGCTAATAAAAAGGAGAAGCTGAATCAGAAAAGAAGGGTAAAGCGTGGAGACAGGTGGCTTAAACACACCCCCCGTCCTTTACCCCGTCACGTATTTTCCCAAATCTTGCCGGAACTTTGTACCCTCTGCTTCCACCAAATCTGGCTAAACAATTTCTTTTCCCCAAAAAGTTAATGAGGAGGAGGAAGCAGAAGGGGAATACAGGCACGCAGAAAGCACAATTCCTTAAAAAAAAACAGAAAAAGAGGTGACATGTTTCTGTGACCTGCAGACAACGCTCTGCTGAGAGATCCTGACCCTAAAATTCGTTTTTCACCCAGATTTTATCTCACAGCTCATCCCCACCGCACCAAACCCCGCGTGCTGCTCCTCTTCCTGGAGACTCCTGTCCCAAATCCTCCAGAACCAACCGCCCCTCTGAAAAAAAAAAACCCCATTGCGATCGCTCCTCCTTCTCAAAGAGGATAAATCACCCTCCAGCGCTCAGAGCCTGCGCTTGGGGGGGAAAAGATGAATTTCCCCAGCTGTAGGAGGAGGGTTTGGTGCTCTCCTTTGTGAAAATCATTTAAAAGTAAATTACCACCGCTCCCCCGACCCTTCCCTCGCCTTCCTCTGCGAGCAGCGGGCGTGTTAGGATCGCAAGGTATGGGTTGATATATTTAATTTGGTTTTTTTTCCAAGCAGCAGACCTGCTATGGCTCCGGAGGACGGAGGAGGCAGGCTGGGAAAAGGTGGATTTGCTGACTTACGGATGCTGGGAATAAAAGGGAGATTTCAGGCGCGGACTGCAGATCCCTCCTGCAATTTTTGCCTTTTTTTGTTGTTGTGAAGCCCCCACCGGCATCTCAGCCCGCTTCATTTATTCCCCGGCGGTTTGTCATCCTGCTAAAAAAATTAAAATAAAAATAAAAATAAAAATAAAGGGGTTGATACCGCACGGTCTCACAGACGCCTCTGCTCCCGTGTCCCCTCCCCATCCAAAAATGAAACCCACCCAAACGAAGCGAGGGGGGAAGGACAGACGCCTGCAGAAAGACAGCGGGGCTGGGGGTCTGGTGGGGGGTTTT